CACTCTTCTCTGAAATGAACTCAGTGTTGTAAACTGATGTTGAGACATGACATTTAAATAGGCAGTGTTGCTATGCCAGAGTAAATATTAAATCACATTACCTGACAATCCTTGGGAAATGGCCTTGCAATGTCAAGACCATGGGAAGTTGATGTGAAATCAAATTCATAGAAATTTGACCTAGATGTTCAAAATAAAAATCTCTCCTTGAATGTTTACAGGGATAGCTTTATGATCGCAAATGATGACAAAATGATAACAGAATACTTTTATGAAGATGATGGGGATAAAAATGGAATGGATTTCACTCTGTATTTTAGTGTATGACCACATTTATATATCCAGTCAGGATGCAAATTTCAAACATACTACCTGCTACATACTGTGCTAGGTGCTGGGGTACAAAATAAGGGTGGAGGTATATGTGGTTCTTGTCATCCAGAGGCTCCCGAATGAGCTAGAGATGGCTGTAACAAAATCATGAACAGGGGCCTACTGGAAGACAGTGGAGGAGCTTTCCTCCTGTAAGGGGCATTTGACACGTGTCTGGAAGGATGAGAAAGAGTGCACTGATGGTGGTGTGTGGAGGGGTAAAAAGGTGTTTTACGAGGTCAGGCAATTAAGTTTGCAAACTCATCCTAGAAAAAGTGCTACATACCTCATTCCTGAATATCACTATGGTCACCTTTGAAGTGCTCCCCTTGGGAAGCTATGCACCAATGCCAGCACTTTGTCCACCCTTCAAAGCAATTTTGGAACTCTTTTTCTGGAATGGCCATCGGAGCTGTCATCGTATTACCTTTGATGTCCTGAATGTCATCAAAACGTCTTCCTTTCAATATTTCCTTTATCTTCGAGTAAAGAAAGAAGTCACCGGGGGCCAGATCAGGTGAGTAGGGAGGGTGTTCCAATACAGTTATTTGTTTCCTGGATGAAAACTCCCTCGCAGACAGTGCCGTGTGAGCTGGTGCATTGTCGTGATGCAAGAGCCATGAGTTGTTGGTGAAAAGTTCAGGTCGTCTAACTTTTTCACGCAGCCTTTTCAGCACTTCCAAATAGTAAGCTTGGTTAACTGTTTGTTTGGTTGGTACAAATTCATAAATCCCTCTGATATCAAAAGAGGTTAGCAACATTGTTGCAACAAATTTGCGAACTTAATTGTCAGACCTCATATGTATAGGTTTAACAATGAGAAAAAAATAACATGTTTGAAGACTGATAAATGTTTAATATGCTAGAGCTCAAGGAAACAGTGAGCAAGTGGCAACAGATATGATGGAAGAGCAGGCAGGGGTCAGATATTAATCTTTTATGACAGACTTCCAGTGAGGTGCAGCTTCAACAGATTAAGAACTGTGTTCAAGGTCTCACAGATAATAGATGAGTCAAGGCCAGATCTAGGTGACGTGGAAGCCACACTCTAGCCTTTACCACACCCCTCCCAGATAACAGGAATAACGTATGATGCTAGAGATTGGAGGCAACAATACATCCCAGACCTCCAGTTTGATTTTGATCATCTCGCTAAAGGACAGGGGGAAAAGTCTTGACCAGGATTGCATTCTGCTCATCATTCTGCATGTTTCAGACAGCTTGCCCAAAGACCTCCATTTGGTTCCCTCTGAGCCAGGCCAGGACGATGACTGCAACAGATGCTTTGCCCCGGCCCCCTTCCATTAAGGCTCAGTCACAACCCTGTCTTACCCGTGCATACAAGGGTCACAGGGGCACCTGCCATCTTCTTCCTAAGAGCAGTTTGCTAAGGCTGTGAACACGCACGTGCAGCGGTTCCACGGTCCCTAACTTAGTAGTCACAGCTGTCAAAGCCTAACGTAACCTGCCAGGAAACATGGAAGCCCACTGTTGCCAAATGACTCAGCTAGTCCTGTGTCTTCCCTGAACACCTGAGCCTAAACAGGGCTCCTTGGGCAGACTCTTTCCTGTTTTCTAGATTCTCCAGCATACAGAGAGGATCCGATGAATACTCTACCCAATCTCATTCGCAAAGGCACAAAAAACACACCATCTCCACCTCCCAGCATTCTTGCTGAGTCCCGCCAACCCTTGCCCCACCATCCAGATCCAGAACTGCTATCTCAGACAATTGTCCGCTGTCTGATCTATCACGTAACAGCTAGAACAGGCAAGAATGCACGAGATGGCTCAACGCCCTCACCCTGTTGAAAAATGGAGCTACAGCTTCTTTTCTCTGGGGAACACCACTGTTCCCCACTGAGGGGAAGAGCGCTGGAGAGCCCGTTTAAGGGGAAGAGCCTGCACCAAGGGAGGCAAAAATACATTTACCGAGGAAGAACCTGGAGAAATCAAAGCATCTCTAGCATTCTCTCCCAAGAGCTCTTTGTTGGGCTTTGCAGAACCGTGCGTGCCCCACATGCTGTTTTTGTGTAGCTTCACAGTTAGGATGCCAAATGCCCTGCTCACACCATGTCCCAAGGGAGCTCCGAGCCCCTGTGGGAACACAGCCATATCTTAGCCTGCCACAGCGTCTAGGCCCTTTTCATTTCAGTTTCTTTCAAATTAAGGAAGGTAGCTGGGATACATAGTGCTGCACTGAGTTATTTAAAACTTCCAACATAGTGACTTCAATGAAATGTAACCACGCTGCCAAGTACACAGGACAATGTGACTCATGTGACTTTTACATCCAGCTCTGCTATGCTGGCAGCCCCCGTGGTACTTTGATGACTTTCAGCCATCAGCTGCTTGCCTCCATGTGCATAGAAACAGAGGGACTTGGGACAATAAAAATGGGCTTTTTGAGGGTAAAATGTGCTCACAGGCCAGAAGTGATGCCAAGGAGGAGGAGTGTCATGAGGACTCTCTATGGTGCTCTGAGCTTTTCCAGCTTTCTCCGGAGACCGGAGCACAGTGCTCAGCCATGCTCCACAAAGCTGAGCCAAGAAAGAAATGGAAGGGAGAGTCCCCTTGGAACAAAATCCTGCCAGCTGCCTGGAAGGCTGCCTGATTAGTCTGCTGTCACAAGAGGAGTCCCTTTATGAAATGGTAAAGACCTCAGTGTCACAGGTCTGTCCCAGGGCAGGACACTAAGGATGGTCTGAGGAAACCAGGGTAGAGCACTCAAATCAGGAAAAGGCCAAGCTGCCATTCTTAGAAAGGCATTTACTTGGCCATCAGCCATGATGAGTCAGTTCTTGTTTTCACTTCCTCCTCTCCTCACATCTGCTCTCATCCCGCAGATCCCCGATGTTCAAGTTGCCTCTTAGAGAAGAAGGCGATCTTGCTTGCTTCTGTTCTTACGACGCTTCCCTTTGTTTCACTGATCCTTTGAGCAAGTTGCACTGCCTTAAACCACCTCCTGGAGGCCACGGTGTTTTACTATACAGATATCCATTTGAATTTTAAATCCTTCTTGTGCTGGGAATCTTACGAAAGAAAAGTGAGAGGAGCATGAGGGGGATGCACTCAGAAAACCAAACCAGGATGAAGTCAAGGAGCCAACGTGCCACTGGAAGAGAAGCAGCAGGCAGAGGTGAAGTCTGAGGGGAATTTAGGGTAGGAAGGTCCCACCTTTTAATGTTTAAAATACGGTGTGGGAAGCTGGCTGCGTGGCTCAGTTGGTTAAGAGCTCGCTCAAGTGCAAGCTCTGAACAACAGTTACCGGTTTGATTCACAGCCCAAGCTGAGCTGCCACTGAGCTGCCAGCAGGTGGCGGGATGGCTCAGCTAAAAAAAAAAAATATATNATATATATATATATATATATATATATATATATATATATGGTGTGGGAAAAGTCTAACTTTGATATAGGGCAATGGGTTGGAAAAAAAATGCATGTGCCAAAGAGATCTGCTGCCTAAAAAGACTGAAGGACTATAAAAAAAAAAGGGGGGGGGGGAAAGAGGCCGGGGCCCCTGCTCAAAAATGGGCAGTACTGAAAGACTGTCCTCCTCTGATTCATCAAGCAGCAGAGATGCCTCATAGAAAATCCAGCGTCAACTTCATCCCGAGTCCTACACGAACAGAATCATCAATAACCCTTTACTGAAATCGTGTGGAGAACACAAATCAAGGTCTATTTTTGGAAAAGAGCAAAGAGGAAGAAAACCACAGATGAAATTCCCAAAAGAGATGTCCCGCTGTCCTCTTAGGAGGTGCCGACTCCCTGACAGCCACACACACATCTGTGCAGAGCTTTTCTTATGCTTGGATGATCTTTCCAAAGCAACTGTGAAGTGACTGAGCACCCAACTGTGCATCAGAAGTTATCTCAGCATGCAGTTCCAACCATCCGACTAGGTCCAGCTCTGAGTTATGAGGAGTCAAAACCTGGCTGAATGTTAAAGATAGAAGTTTAAAAGAACAGTTATCCATATACATGTTAGATGGCAAAACTACGCATTTGGGGTTAACCTGATGAAAACAGGATCCACTGTGAATGAAGGCTGGGGATGGGTAAGTGAGAACTAAGAGATCTGGAGAGAAGAGATGACCTAGGAAAAGGAGGAGGAAGGTACGAGTAAGTGTATATTACAAATAACTGCAAAAAGATGTCATATTCAGAATTACGCCTTCTTTGCATCTTTCTGAAAGAAACCACTTTCTGATTCAAACAAATGTAGCACTGACACCTCACACTTCCAGGTTGCTCATGCATTATAGGAACGAAGCATATGACTTAGAAGTATGGAAAACAACTTAGAATGTATTAAACAACAATATTTTCCATTCGCCTCTGAGCAACAATGTCCATTCCTGTGATCTCTATTTTTTTTTCCTCCCCTAGGGCTTTCCACTCTCCTTCAAAAATCTCTCTCTCTTAAGACATCATCCTTCATCTAATGTACACATTACTCTATGAATTCAATGCATAAGATACAAGAAGGAAGTGATTATCATACGTCTAATTTCCAATTCCATTTCCCTCCAACCTGTTTTCTTTTCAGTCACAGGTCTACCAGGAGGTTTGAGAGCTCTCACTTTTAGAACAAGGTCAAAGTCCACCTCATCAGACCTTACCTTTGATGCCCTGAAAGAGAAGGCTGTGGACTTGGTGTCTGACTTTCCCCGGTCTTGCAGTATAAGGCCTTGGTCCTCTGTCGAGGCCAGGTAGTGGCCAGTGGTGAGATGCCGTAGTCGGAAAGCCTGGCCCCATCTTATGTTACTGCCACTCCAGCTGCACAGGTGAAACAGACGAGACATTCATCTACACGAAAATAAGTCCTTTTCAATATTTCTCCTGTGCTTTCTTACACATGATGGCAGACTTATAATCCTTCTGGGTTTCATCCCCTATGGGACGAAGCACCAGTCTTCTGGTTTGCTCTAGGATTTCCTGTCTGCTTACCACTCCGCATGGATGTAACCTCCCTCAAGCACGCCAACAAGGAACACGATACTGGGGGCAGGGCAGTAGTTAGTGTCATTGGAAGTCTCAAGCTTCCAATTTTTCCTTCACTCTACTGAAGTGTCTTAATACAAAAATCAAAACAAAACAAAAACCTACAAAGAGAATGGGAAGCTTGCCTGTTAAGGGGAACGTCTTTCTGGGAAAGCAAAGCCTTTCCAAATGTGTCGTCTGACCTCAAACATTTTACTACCACAAAGAATCCTATCTTCAAGAGAAATAGTAAAAATCTTTGTGCAGCTTACACTTGCCAGAGAGGGACAGATTAAAAAACAAAACAACTACAAAAAAGCAACAAAAAAAAACAAGCCACCTCTCTTCCCATACGCGGCCTGAGGTGACCTCTGAAAATGGCTCGCTATTTGCTTGACCCAGAGAACCCCACAAAATCATGTAAATCGAGAGGTTCGAATCTTCATGTTCATTTTAAGAACACTTATGAAATTGCTCAGGCCACCAAGGGCATGCATATCCGAAAAGCCACCAAGTATCTAAAGGATGTCACGTTACAAAAGCAATGTGCGCCATTCCATTGTTACAATGGTGGAGTTGAGAGGTATGCCCAGGCCAAACAGTGGGGTTGGACCCAGGGTTGGTGGCCCAAAAAGAGTGATGCACATGCTTAAAAAGGGAGCAATGCTGAGCTTAAGGGTTTTAGATGTAGACTCTGGTCATTGAACACATCCAGGTGAACAAAGCACCCACGATGCGGCGCAAAATTTACAGAGCTCACAGGCAGATTAACCCATACATGAGTTCTCCCTGCCACAGTGAGATGGTCCTAAATGAAAAAGAGCAGATTGTTCCAAATCAGAAGAGGAGGTTGCACAGAAGAAAAAGATCTCCCAGAAGAAACTAAAGAAACAAAAACTTATGGCCCAGGAGTAAATTCAGCATCAAATTAATGCTAATAGAAAAACAAACAAACAAAACAATGAATAATAAGTGAATAAATAAATAAATATTGTGGCATGTTAGAAGGCAATAAGTTCTATGGCAAAAACAGTAAAGCAGGATAAGATGATTGAGAAAAGGGAGGTCTCATGTTGAATGCCAACCTTTTTATGGTCCTTCATCAAAAGGTTGGCATTCAACAAGTTATGATAAGTGTCAGGGAGAAATTGAATAACTGAATAACCTGTAATGCATTTACCTTTTAAGCTTGGATAAAACGTTTAAGAGATACATGTGCCAAATTTTAAAATAATGCTTCTTTTGAGCCAACTCTTTGGAGAACCAATTAATCCAAGTTACATCATTAAGAGGCTTACATTTGTCATGTTGAGGATGCTGGGTAACTAGAACTTATACATGCATACTTATTTTGACTTTTATACAATAAAAGTCCATTAAGCAAGAACCCAAGCTAATATCCTGAGAATAATAGTATGACTTTTAACAATGCTGGGAAAAGATAAATGCTCCAAGCCAGCTAACAAGTGGGTGCTCCTTAAAACCAGCATTGTTTAAAAACCAGCAGCCTCCAGAGTTTCTCAGTAAGAATTTAAATGTACGTGTGTGTCTTTCTAGGTGTCTGTAAGAGAAGTTGTCATATTTTCTCCTGATCGCTAATGGATAATTTTGAGAACCCCCTTGGTGCACACACCCCTCATGAGAGGGACTTTTACTTTGAACATGTGTTCAGGGAGAGACCGAACAGAGAGCTAGAGAGAAAGGTAGAGAAGGAAAACCAAGATGGTAACACTTGACCCTTCTCTCTCATGCCAAGCCATTTAACTCTATCCTAACTTGAATCCCTCTCAGCAAAACAAAGGTCTAGAGCTTAACCGCATCCCTTATTTAGTAGTTTGATGTTTAGAGACCACATGTTCTTACTCAAGCATATGGGTCCAAAGTCTCAGCCTTCTGTTCCTTCCATCCAGGTACAGCACTGTTGCTGACAAGTTCTAGTAAATACTGTTTCTTCATTGCTGTGTTTCCAATGATGTTTTAGTGTTCCCTACCTCATGTCGTCAAAAGCACCACTCTGTCATTTAAAGCTAACTGTCCACTGGAGCCAACAAAGCTACTGAGAAGAGGACTTACCTGAGCTTGCCTTTTGTAATTCAGGCACTGCCAGGATCTGGGCTCAGGGCAGCAGAGCTGTCTGGCTTCAGAATCAAAACAGGGGTCTTGGATATTGTGTGTGTGTGTGTGTGTGTGTGTGTGTGTGTGTGTGTGTGTGTGTGTGTGTGTGTTTCTTTAAAG